TGGCAGATGCGGCTCTGCACGGCCAGATGTGGCTGGGAGCATGATGCTGTTTGTGGCTTGGTGCAGAGGAGAAGGGTAAGGACCAGAGCCGGGGCTTGCCCAGTGCCTCCAGGGCGAGCTGACATCAGGCAGTGCTGTCTGCCCCTTTGCCCAGGCACCCAGTGCAGCACAGACTGGCTGGCTCCTATCAGCTGCAGGGAAGGCAGGGAGCAGGGGAAGCCCTTCTGCCCAGCCTGGGTACACGCTCCCATTGTCCCCACTAACAATGGGGGAGACAAGCGAGTGCTGGAGCTGATGACACAAACCCAAGTGCGGCGAGCAGCTGGCTGGATGCTAAAGGGAAGCTCTGTGCGTGCTGCAGGGACAGCCCCTGCCTGTCCAGCACTGCCAGGGTGAGGGCCAGGCCTCCCAACAGCAGAAACGAGCTCTGTTCTGTGCCTGTATTTAACCTGCCTGTATTTTACCTGCCTCTCTCCAGCCTGAGGAGCCTCCTCGCTGGCTGGGAATCATCCCCGGGAACCTGTGTGGTGAGAGCTGACCACCCTGCCCCAATGGTTCCTTCATAAATAAGGAATGCCAATAAACAGTTTCCATTCCTTAAGGCCCAGCAGGTAGGAGGAGAAAATTCAGGGAAGCTGTTTCCATTTTCTGTAGCTTGCATTATTCATGCCTCCTGAGACACAGAGGGGAAAGCTAGGCTGGTGATGGAGAGCAGCAGTGCTGTGCTCTATGCCTTTCTCTATCCGGCATCACCCTAGGAGGGCCCTAAGAGCTTCTCCTTTCCCACACAGGCAAATTTCCCCAAGACAAAGGGGTTTTAAGTTACTCTGGTAATCAATCAGTTGCATGCCTGGGGCTTCTAATGCTGCACAACCTGGCATCAGTGGGGTATTCCCATCGACTGCCGTCCCGATGCAGGACAGGGGGTGATGGTGTGTCACAGGGGAAGGTGTTCAGCAGGTTGAAGAGGGGGGTTTCACCATCTGACGTGCATCTTTTCCCAGATCCAGCTGTCCGTTCATGTCAGCTCCCATATGAAGAGCCCGTGGGATGTGGCACCGTTGCAAAGAGGCTGAAGGCAGGCCCTCTGGCCACTCACCCTGCAGGTAAGAGACCCAGACCTCCAGACTCTGAGCTAGGAACCAAGTTATCTGCCTGGCTTAGTTGGCAGGGATGCTTCTCCTTCTCCCAGGAATGAGTTTCCCCCTGAGCTCAGCAGAGGTCAGGTTTGCAGGGCATGGTCCAGAAACCAGCTTTCCTATCCCACCAGGACGCATTGCTGGTTGCAATGGGAGGCAGCGAGGAGTCTGAGCAGGCAGCCAAGCACCATTCCCACGCAGTCTGAGGAGCAGATGGAGCAAGCTGAGAGCTTTGTGCCTTAGTCAACCCCTCTTGCAGGCTGAGTTGGCTCCTCCTGTCCTGGCTGGCTCCCACCAGGATTTCCAAGTCTCTTACAGGAATAGTGTAGCAGCTCTGGGAATGAAGGGCTAGAAGCAGAGATGGTCACCCACCCTCCAGATGGATATCAGACTGCAAGGAATTGCTCTGCAACAGGCAGGAGAGCTGTGCTGCTGGGACCTTGCCTGGTGGCTCCCAGACACTGACAGCAACATCAGGTGAAGCAGGGGTTTACTATGGAGCATCCTACACTGCAGTGCATACTCACTGCTGGCAGCCTCCCAGCAGGGTCTCCCTTCAAGACAAGCCACCAGGACAAGCAGGAGGGTGCAGCATCCCCACTGGGCACTCTTGCATGACTGCGTGTCAGCATGGAGCCAGGACTTAGGTATCCAGACCCTGCAGGCAAACAGGGAGGCACAGAGGGAAGGGAGGGATGTTTCTGCTGTCAGGTGTGTCAGTGCAGGGACTGGAGCCGATTCCTCTAATAGCTGATCTCTGTTAGGTCTTCAAGTCTCTGGGGCTTCTCAGTACCCAGGATCCAGCCATAAGCAGGCAGAGGTACCATGGAGGAGCCCTTCGCACTGCAGGCAAGGCGCCCGGCAGTGCTGGGGTGTTGTGCCAGCCATCTCCTTTGCTGGGCTAATGTGGCTGCTCCAAGCACAGCAGAGGCCAAGGAGCTTGCTGCAGCAGCAGCCCTGCTTGCCCCTGTTTTCCATGGCTGTGTGCTGCGTGCAGGAAGGAGGGGAGCACAGTCTCCTCCACCCCTGCTCTGTGCAGTGGTGCCACAAAGCCCAAGGGCTTTGTATCTGGGCCATGCTACATATAGCATCCGTGGGGCCTCGCTGGGCTCCCAAGGGCCTTTCTGTCTCTCCAATCAAGGGCAAAGCTCTTCTGCAGCCTCAAAGACGGGGTGGGAAGGGCCTGGGTTTGGCTTCATGCAGTGACAAGCATAAAGACTTTGCCACCCTCCTGTCAGCTGGAGCTCTGGGGCCAGGCAGAGCAGGGACATGCAGGGGCAGGCACTGCGCTGTGAAGCTGGTGAGCGTATCCATCAGTCGAGCCTAGAGCTGCAATCTCTGCCAGATCAATAGCACTGATTCTCAGACGCCCTCCCTTACTCCTGTATCCCGTAACTCCTCAGCTCTAATGGCCTAGGAGAGGATGCCAGGGGTTTCTCCCCAGGAGTGCTGCCCCAGATCCCGTTGGCTAGGACCTAATGTCTCTCCTCCCTTGCAATTAGCAGTGGGGGAGCCAATGATTACTGGTAGGGACCGGCTGCTGCGTAGGCATCCTGCTGTCATGTTTTGAGCAGGACCCAGTGCGATGCTGTGCTGTGATTCATGAGCAGGAGGGAGAGACGCTCCCTTTCCTCTCGTCTTTGGGGGTAGGCTGAGGGCAGGGGGAAGATGTTCCTCTTGGGAAGGATGCGCACCTCTCTCCTGGAAGGGCATCCCCTGCAGCAGCATGTCCTTGGGACAAGGCCAGGTTTTAATTGCTGCAGCAGCACCAGGCACTCGAGTCACGGTCCTCAATCAGTGCCTCAGCTTCTAGCCTACCCCCTGCTGCTACTGGGGATGGTCCTAGGGCGACTCAGAGCAGTGATGCCCCTGACGCACTCCATCAGAGCAGAAGGACTCCCCACATGCCCTGGCTTTCCCTCCAGAGAGGAGATAGGGGAAGTTCAATTGATCTGAGCTCTTAGGAGAGCTGCGCCCTGCCTCTGCCTGTCTGTCCTGCCACATCACCTGTGCCTGCTGGTAACTGCACTGTCTGGCTCCCTCCTTGCCCCTGTTTATGCCTGTCTGTCTGTCTCTGCCTGTCCCCTGCCACTTCAAATGCTGCCTGCACCCTCTCCATTTCTCTGTCATGATTAGGTTTTCCCCTCCTCACCCACCCTTTTCTTTGCCTTGGAGCACGATCTGGAGGCCTCTGCATTAGGTGTGACTTGGGGACTGATTTTTCCCTGGTGTATGGATAGCAGCCAGCCTGCAATCTGCACTGAAGGGGCTACCCAGGGAGAGAACCTCTGCAAGGAGCCTCCTGCAAGTACCTAGGCAGGACGTTCGCTGCCAGCACTGCCCAGAAACTGCACAATCATGCCTGCCTCCACAGCACCATCAGGCAAGGATCTGAAGGGAGCTGAAGTCTCTTGCAGTGCAGTGGTGCTTGGGCAACCGCGTGCCTCCAAAAGCCAGTCCCTCAAGCCTGAATTCCCTGGTTGCCTACGCTTGCATAGCTAGGAGTGAGGGTAGGGATGCGGAGCTAGATACAAAAGGGACATGTGTGTGTGCATGGTTATACCACAGCTGTGTTTGGATGCAGCCCTCATGCTTGCATGGTTTTTGCACCCTAACAACGTGGCAACGCGCCTCTTGTTCTTGTCTGTTTGCGTTGCATCAATCTGCTTCCAGTCGTTAGTGATGGCTTTCTGTGTCAGTTTGCCATGCCTTGAATCCCATCCTCAGCCAGCACTGTCAGCTTTGTATACCCTGGGTTACCATCCTAGTTGTGTTGCTACGCACATGTGGCAGTGACCACAGCCTGGGTCCATTCAGTATGCAGATAGGGTCAGACCTTTGCCCTCCCCATGGCAGCACACTGGGAGTCCTTCCTGAGCATCATGGCCTGTTTCCAGCCCCATTTGGGGCAGCATAGCCAGAGCCAAGATTCTGTAGAATTAGCAAAACCCCCCTGCACAGCCAGCTCAGCACTTGGGTGTCACCAGGGATCAGGTTCTGCTGGAGCAGAATATGACTTCTCCTATCAACTTTCACAGTGCCAGCCCTTTTCTGCAGAGCCAAGGGCTGCGGGCAGAGGTGAGGACAGGGCAGGCCCTTCTGCATGTCTCTGCTCCTTGCTGGGATGCTTTGGAGCACAGACTCCTAGGAAGAGCAGCTCCATGATGCTGCCATCCTCTTCTGTCATCTCCACTTGGCCCTAGAGCAGAGAAGAGCTCCTTTGCCCGGCTGTTTACTGGGTTCAAAGACGTTTTGCACACAAGCAGCTCTCCTTAGCCCCTTCCCAACCATGCAGTGCTGGGAGCTTGTGGGGAGCAAGCCCTTGTTTGCATCCTCACCGCCACCAGCTCTGGGCTTAAAGCTTAAGGCTTGCGGCCAGTGGTGGTTCCTGCGTGGTGCATGGGTCTCCGGTGACTTGGTGTCCGCTGCTCATTGCACACCTGAACTATAGCCATTTGGGGAGGGCCAGTATGTCCCCTCTCCTCAGCAGAGCTCAAGCCACGCTCTTCTGTCCGCTTCCAAAGCTTTCCTTTCCCAGCAAAGCAACACCCGTATTGCCGGGAAGGACGAGGGCTGGCGGCTCTTCTGCAGAATGTGGTGTTCCCATGGCGATGGGGATGTGTCACCCTTCCCGCTTTGCGCTAAGAGGAACGGGGAGGGGATGAGGGGAAGGGGCCGAACAGGACCCTCCTGTGCCCCAATGAGGGGCCGCCGGGGGGCTTCCTCCCTCCCCGGGCACCCCCAATGCCCCGCACCCCCCCCCCCCTCCCGGGGCCGGTTCGGCCGCATCCCGGGGCGGGGCCGGTCCGCAGAGCCGATCCCCCCCCTCCGCACCGCTCCGCAGGGCCGGGGGCCGAGCCTCCGTGACGCCGCCCGGCACTGATTTGCTGGGGCCGCCCGCCCGGCCCGGCCCAAACTGCGGGGAGCGCCGAGCCGCCCACAGCCCCGCCGGGCAGCACCGGACAGCGCCGGCAGCCCCGCGGGCGGCAGCGCGGACAGCACCGGACAGCGCCGGCAGGTAAGGCACGGCCCGGCCCCGCCGCACCGAGCGCACCCGCCGCTGCGGTGCCCCTCTACGGGGCGGGGAAAGGGGAGGGTCGGGGCCCCAAAGCGGGAGCCGCTTGTCCTTGCCCGGGAGGGATGCGCTGCCCGCCGCGGGGACTGGGTACCGGGATGCTGCTGCAGGGCGGCGCTCCCCGTTCTTCCCTTCCCTTCTTCCCTCCGTCCCTCCCCTGCAAAGGCTCGGGACTGCGGCATTCCTCCACGGGCACGGCGGCGCGCATGCCCGCTGCCTGCGGGGTGGGCAGCTCGCACGGAGCCCTCCTGCCCCGCAAGGGCCCGGCAGAGGTGTTGCCCGCTTCGCTCTTCCTTGAGCATCCATCCACACGGCGTAAAGGGAGACCCCCGGTACCCTTGTTCCCAGGTCTGCAGCCAGGTTCCCGTGGTTTATCCCAGCCCACCAGCCTGGCTCTCTTCTGCCCCGATGGCTTTGTTTGTCGTGGGGGTGGGCACGGAGGTACCACCATCATAGCGTGGCCCCACGTAGGTGGTAGAGACCACGTTAGAAAGCTGTGCTCTGCAAGAGCTGGGGTTGCTCTAATGCTATCGTTCTTGGGAGATCTGTCCCTGCGCAAAGACCCTGGACTGTGCAGCAACAAGAGTTATCTGGCACCACTGTCGGGAGGAGAGGTACAAAGGATCCAAGGGGTCATGAATCCAGAGCCTGGAATATCTGAGTGCTTTTGCACATAGAGGGGAGGAAGCCCCCTTCTGTGGGAGCTTATTTGCACTGATTTTCCGGAAGAAAGCCTGGCTGTGACCTAGATAGTGTCCCAGGACATTCAAAGAGGAGTGGGTCAGAGCTGAGAAATAACAAAGGAAAGGACAGGGGCCAGTTTCTAGGCACCCAGAGGAGACCCGAGTAGTCTCCTCCATCATGCGTTTGCCCCCATTTGCACCCTCTTGTTTGTCAAGACCAAGCAGAAGGGAATTTTTCTTCCTGGCCAGGGTTTGGGGTTGCAGAGATCTTTCACAGCTCCACAGTGAGCAAATGGGTTTGGTATTTCCTCCTAGAACATTATATGAAAGACTGAAAATATGCTCAGAAGAATCATCCAGCTGGCTGCAGTGCAGAGCTCTTCCCTGGATGCTTAGTCAGGCTCAGAGGGAGCAAACCGGTGGCCTGCTGTGCCCTCTGCCAGCCCGGAGCCCCAAAGGGTGGTACTTCACCTCCTCCTCTTGACCTGGCTCCGCATCCCCAGCCTGGAGAACCGGCCGCAGGATGCGGTGTCCTTCAGCCCCGGTGTCTGCTTTGCTGCTCCCCCACCCTCTGCCTCCATTCCGCATGTCTGCGGCTGGATTCCCCATGCGGCTGCTTGGCTGGGCTGCAAACCTTTAATTGATTCCTTTCAGCCACATTGGAATCCCAGCAGCCCTGCGGCTTTGGCAGCACATCCACAGGCCTGAAGAGACATGGGCTGGGGACCCAGAGGGTGGACTCTGCCACCCCAAAGCCCTTCCACGCTGTAAGCTGGGCAGGCTGGGCTCAGCCCTTGGAGACTCGGTGCCATCCTTTGGCAGCCTTGGCTCCGTGTCCAGCTGCCGTGTCCCTTCTTCCCGCTGCTGTTGGCCCCTTTCCCTCGCTGCATCGCAGTGACTCATCCATGCTGAGCTCACCCGCTGGAGCTGCAGGAGGGCTGGTGGCCTGGCGCCCGCCGGCACCGACGGAGGGTCCCTCACCTGGCAGCCCTATGGACATCATGGGCAGGCACGGATTCCTCCTGCCTGGTCCCCATCCCAGGCACGGGGCAGCAGAAAGGGAAGGCAGCGCACGAAGGCCGTGCTGCAGGTCCGTGCCATGCTTATTTAATGTCTGGTGTGGGGATACAGACAGGGAAAAGAGTGTGGCTGGTGCTGGCTGGGGTTATGGGAAGGTGATGCTGGCCAGACACATAATCCCTCATTTCCTAGCTGGCTGCAGGGCCGGCCAGGCCCTGCACAGTCAATCCACCACCATGATGAGAAGCAAGCTATAGAGCACCATAGAGGAGAGCCAGACTGCCTACCTGTGCCATGTGTGCCCGTTTCTGTGTGCTGGGTTCAATGACTAACCTCCTCTCCTTCTCTCTGCCCAGGCTCCCCTTCCAGTGACAGCCACTGCTGGGCACCTCAGCGGAGAGATGAACCCCACCGTCGGCATCGCTGTCATCCTGACAGGTAGACACACATCCCCTCCCTTCTTTGCAATGAGCTCAGCCCAGCGCAGCCAGGCGAGAGCCAGGAGGCTATGTGGGCATCCCCAGTGCTTGTATCCCTTGTCCAACCCCTGCTTGCCTCTCCCAGTCCTCCAGGCTGCCCACTGCCAGATGATCAAGGACCTGAGTGCCTGCCTGCTGGGCCAGAGCCTCCGGGTGGACTGCCGCTATGAGAACAAAACCAGCAACCCCCTGACCTACGAGTTCAGCATCACCAAGGACAACAGGAAGCACGTCATCCACAGCACCATCAGCGTCTCGGAGAACATCTACCGCAACCGAGCCAACGTCACCATGCACAAGAACCTGGTGTGCCTCTACCTGCAGAGCTTCACCACCAGCGATGAGGGCGTCTACATGTGTGAGCTGAAGGCCACCAACGACTACACCGGGAACCAGATAAAGAACATCACCGTCATCAAAGGTGAGATGGGCAGCCTGGCTTCAATCCCTCTTTCCCACCTGCTCCTTGGCTTGGCAGGGCCAGCAGAGAGAACCAGAACCCCCGATGGTGTCCCCAAATCCTCCTTGAGCTGTTTCCCAGCCCTTACAAGCCCTTCATACCGCAGGCAGAGCCATCAGCCCCACTTGCTCTGCCTTGACTGCTTAACCCTGTCTCTCCTGGGCCTCACGTGTCTCAGGTGTCCTCCCATAGGGGATGCTTCAGAGTCCCAGCAGAGGGGACAAGTCTGCTGGGGAAGGACTGAAGAGGGATGTGGCTTTTCCACACTTAGGCTGTGCAGGAGCAGTCCTCCATCTGCAGAGCCCTTTATCTGCTCTGGTGCCCATCCCCTTGTCACCCCAGTCAGGCAAAAGCAGCGTTATGCTTCCCCGGGTCTCTGCATGGCCCCAAAAGCTTTGAAGGGCACAAGGTGGGAGGGGAAGCAGGCAAGGGGCCAGGATGAGACTTGGTGCTGTTCTGAGGCCAAGGTGAGAAGCTGAGTCCCAGCACCCCTTATAACACCTGATGCCTGCTCCTGAGGGATTTCACCGTGGCTCTTCTCTCCCTCCCCATCCCCTGCCCTCACAGACAAACTGGAGAAGTGCGCCGGCTTCAGCCTCTTGATCCAGAACACTTCGTGGCTCCTGCTCCTTCTCCTTTCCCTGCCTCTCCTGCAAGCCGTGGACTTCGTGTCCCTGTGAAAGGAAAAGCAGGCACACACACACACATACACACACACGCACATGCACGCACACACCGAGCACCCCAGCAAACCCGCCTCCCCTGCCAGAACGCAGCCCTTGGAAGGAGAAGCTGAACCATTTGGAACCAGTGAAACCTCTCTCTGTGTTATCTCTATATAGCCGTGTATAACGCTCCCCACCGTCCGGTGCCAAGGCCCGCCGTCACACGCACACATGCCCCGCTCCGAAGCATGGTGGCTCTGCTAGGCAGCATTGCTTCTCCCATCGCTCCTCCCCGCTCGGTAGGCCGGCTGGTTGGGAGCACTGGAGCCTCAGCCCCACACAGCCCGCTTCTCCCCATCCCTTTGGCTTTTGGGGTTTACCTGTTCTCAACTGGGGAAACACAGCAGGATCGGCAGGTAAGAGAAGGAGGTGATGCGAGAGCGTGCAGAGGGGTCCCCGTGCTGGGTGCTGTGCCCCTATTGGAGATGGGGCTGTGTGTCCCCAGCCTGGCCGGGCTGGGAGAAGAGAGGGGAGCAGGTTTAGGAGACACCATCAAATGACCCTGCCTCCTTAGGGCTCTTTCGGGGCCCTGGGGAGGGGGCTCACAGCAAACGTGCTTTGGCAACAAGTATTTCCTAATCTGTCTTTTACAGCCGAGCTGGAAGTGAGGCCTCCTCCAGGCATCATCTGGTACCTTTGGGCTGCCCAAGCCACAGACACCACTTGCTCTCACCCAAGACCAGCCCTTAGCTGTGACGAGAGAATTGCTGCCAGCACCAGTGGAGGCAAGCAGAGCCTCTCTGAGCTAGCCACAGCCCCGCATTGCCCCTACTCCTCTCCCTGTGGTCCCCAGAGCTAGATCCAGGCAGGCTGGTGGGGAGGGCACATCTCAATGCCTGGCCACAGCTAGGCTTATCAGTCTTCCTTCAGCCCCACCATGCCGCTGGGAGGACCCTGTGTACCCCTTCCCTTCTCCTTCTTCCCTCTCATCATTCCCTGTCTCCACTTAAGAACAGAATAGGATGTAAGGGCAGCCCAGCTGGCCATGGGGAGAGAGACCGAAGGGCTGGTCCTGCTGTACCCTCACCCAGGAGAGGGCACAGGAGCAGGCAGGAAGATGCAGGCAGGAGCATCCTGATCCATGGGGTGACCCCCAGCCCCGCTGAGCTGCCCGTGCAGCCTGAGCTGTGCCACCACGGCTGAGAGCAACCCACAGCAGCTGCTCCCCACGCCTTGTGAGCTGCCTCCTACCTACCCCCCTGCCCGTTCCCTGCCCGTCCCTGCCTGCTTGCTTGCTGTCTAGTGCTGCTGAGGCCGTGTATAGCTGAGGCCTGGCTGCGCCCAGCTCCCTGGGCTTGCTGGTGAGCGCTGGGGCAGGTGCAGAGCCCAGCCAGCAGAGCGCGGATGCATCTCGAGTCTCATTTTTGGGTGACCATTTGTAGTTGTTTTCCACAGCTTTGTCGTAAACCAAACTCTGTCAAAGGGGGGGGGGGGGGGGAAGAACCCTACGAAAAGCAACAACAACAGAAAAAAAAACACCTTACCCTGCAGGAGTGTTCCTCTGTCTGCACAATAAAACCCTAGGTTGTGTGTTGGAGCCGCGGCCACCCGTGTGTGCGGTGATGGGGAGAAGGGCCCGGATCCAGCCTGTGCTTTCAGCCCCCCATTTGGGGGGGGGGGGGGGAATGACACACCCTTCCTGGGCAACCCACATCCTGCTTCCAGCAGGAGGGATAGAAGCAGGCAGGGACAAGTCTTGCCTTCCTGGGGTGATCCCCTCCTATGAACCCAGAGCAAGGACCCCTGCACCAAGTCCCTTTGCCCCATCCCGTCATCCCACCCCGGTCCCTATGTCCCATACTCCGCTCTGGAACCCCAACCCTCCTGGCCCCATTGTGAGCTGAGGGCCAGGGCATTCCATCATGCCGGCAAGGAGGCAAAGCAGGGTAGGTACAGCTGGGTACCCCGGGATACATCCCGGTCCAACCATCCCCTGGGGAGGGAATTGTCAGAGCCGGGAGTGTGTGTGGGAGCAGGGCTGGGTGTGGATTCATGTGCTAGAGCCCCTGGTGCTGGGTCTGTCATGCCAGGGTCCTTCCTGCACACGCTGCCCATGGGGATGCCAAGGGCCCCTACGTCTCCTAGAGCAGCCACACACTGCTCCCTGCCCACGGTCACGATGCCACCCTGGGACCGGGGGCTATCCTCCCCCTCCCGTTTGGGAGTGGGGCCCGACATTACCCACTGACCCCACTGGTGACCCTATAGCAGCCTCCCAGAGTGACGCCCAGACGCATCCCTCCCTGTTTAAGGGCTGGAGGCAGGCAGGAGGGCCCCAAATGCCACCGTAATTACATCCCTGCTAATTACCCTCGGCAGGTGCTCATTGAGTCACGGCCGCTCCGGTGCCGGCACCGTGAGGCCACAGCGCCCTGGGCGGGTCAGGCGTCGGGGAGCGGTGCTGGGTGGGTGCCCCGGTGTCCCCACGGTGCTATGAGGAACGGGTGCTCCTGTGCATCACCGCCACATCACCCACCCCGTGCCTGCCTCTGATGCAGGCTTAGGGGACTCTTCTCCCTATGTTTTGCCCCAAGGGAGCGTCTCCTCCCCTCACCCGGATGCTCTACTCCAGTCCTCAGTGGGAGCCATGGGTTTTCTGCCTTCTTGACCCCCGCACCAAGCTCCCTGTCTTAATGCTCCATCCACCCTTTCCTGCCTGGACCTCCGTCTCCCTCCCCAGATCTCTCCCTTCCCCATACCTTCAGACATGCTTCTTCCTTCCCACAACAATTCCCCCTTACCTCTGTCGCCTTCCCCCCTCAGCATCCCCTTGCTGTGGGCCACCAGCGCTCTCAGGTTCACGTCCCCTTTAAGCCTCCCCGAAGCTGGAATGCGAGAGGAGCATTTCAGCGCCCTGTGAGGTCAGATAAAGGCTCTATATTTATCTACCCGGTAACCTGAGCTGTGAATTTCTGCCCTGGTGTTTTTATGCGGCCCCACAGCCCTCCGCCTCGGCCCCCTCTGTCCTCTCGGTGCGGGGTGGAGGAGCCAAGCCGTGGGGTGCCCGGTCCCCCGCTAAGGGCTCGGGGTGCTGCCGGCCCGCTCTGCATCGCTCACTCTCATCCCGCCCCAAGGGAGATGCCCCGAAGAGGCAGGATCGGGCCCCACTCGCTCAGCCCCATAACCAGCCGCCTGCCTCCCGCCGCGCCGGCCTCGTGCCCCTAAGCAGCCAGCAGCCGCCCGCACCGCTGCCCCGCACGCAGGTGAGTGGACGGGGTGCCATGGGGGCACCAGGGAGGGGGGCTGGCATCAAGGACTCAGCCCTTCGGCTGGGTGAAGCCGTGGGGGAGAGGTCTGCGGTCTCTGTGTCCCCATAGAGCCCAAGCACCAAACCTGGCAGCTCTCTGCCGAAACCATCACCCTGGCACCATCCTTGTGCCGCAGCAGGGGCAGAGCCTCCCTGGGGTCCATTCTTCCCCCTGCAGACCTCAGAGCAGTAACACACGCCCTGGGTCTTTAGGTCCAGGCTCCCTGCGAGGTTGGGGCTCTGCTGCCTGGAGGGAGGGTGATCTCCGCAGGCAGCTGGGTATGGGTCAGCAGCACGGAGCGGGCCCAGGGTGGTGACTGCTGCTCAGCGCTGTGCTGTGAGCCCCAGGGCTCTCAGGCTGGCCCGAGCTGCACGCATGACCTTGGGCACTGGTTTTCTATCACCCCCCCGGTGACTTGGGCTCAATGCAGGGAGCAAACATCCCCCTCCAGGGCTGCTTGGGGCCACCCTTCCTAGAGGGAAACGCAGATTCCCAGAGGGATCTGGGAGCTCTGGTGTCACCTCCAGGCTGGGACATTGCGTCTCGAGGGACAGGGGGTACAGCTCCAAGCCTGCGTAAGCGAGGAGCAGCTGTGCCGTAACACCTTGGATGGAGCCAGCGCTGTGTAAGCTGAGCCTGCTCTGGGGCTCCGAGGGGAACAGCTACGGCAGGGCCATGGGCAGAGGAACGGCTGGAGAGGGAGCCTCTGCCTCCCGGCTTCAGGTTAAACTTCCTATGGGAAGGCTCCCATAGGAGCCCCGTGGGTCCCTGGCGCTGGCCACGTGAAGGCAGACCGGACATTCCAGTGCATCAGCTTCCCCTGACACCCCACGAGGATGATGAGGGTGCAGGAGCCCTGACTCAGCCATGCCAGCCCCAGGGCTTCGCCAGGCAGCAGGAAAGCTCAGCACTATTATGGGCAGGGAGGGGCCAGGCAGGCCAGGAAGTGATGGGAGGGAGGAACCTGTGTGTTCTCACACCCCCTGAGCTCCTCCGGGTCCTGCCATGCTCCGCTGCCCCACGGCGCTGGGCTCTGCTCCGATGTGACACGGGGAGGACTCCGCGGCGCAGGCGGTCCTAGCAGATGCGGCGCTGCTCCGTGGTAAGAGCCCTCTTCCCTCAATGCCAATGGGTTAGCTGCTGTGTCTGGGGCAGGTTCCCCTTCCCGGGCCCCGCATCCCTCCATCAGCTCACACGTTGCCCTATGGAGACGTGTCCTGCTGCCTTGATGCCCTCCCATTCACAAGCCGGTGGCTGTCCTAAGAGCAAGGAAGAGGTGCTGCTGGTGCCAGCGGTGGCATGGCACACTAGGACAATGGCATGGGGCTGTCCTGGCACTGATTGTCGGTTCTGGCTTGGGGCTAGGGAGCAGGGGCAGCCCAGAGAGAGCCCCTGTGTTTCATTATGGCACACAGGCAAGCGTGTGCTCCCTGGCAGCCGAGGGGCTCTGACTCCAGCATTGATGCCAGTCCCTTGCCTGGGGTCCCCATTGGCCATGTCAAATCCCGGCTGGCAGAACCACTCCTGGGTCCTCCCAGTGCTGGTGAGAGTGGCTGCAGCCTGGCCTGGAAGAGCTGGGTGCTTGGTGGACTCCTTGCCTGCGAGCCGATTATTCAGCCCTCAGCCTCCATTCCCAAACAGGTCTGTTGGCTCCACCTCGCTCTTGCTTGTAAATAGTTCCCTCTCCGCTGTGGGACGGTTGTTCCCTGGGCAATGACAACAGTAGCCGGGATGCAGCTGGGCTCCTCTCCAGGAGGTGGCTGAATGCTGCCTCTGACACCACCTCCTAAAAGCAAAGCAGCCCTGGGGCATGTCCACACCAGGGTGAGATGGGCAGGGGTGG